TCATAGTAATATTTCAGCATTCTTCAAATATCTCGTTTAAGCATTTGATCCATTGAATATCTGAAAATACAAACACCCATTTTCCACATGGCACAGTAAGTCTGCTTACTTTGGCAGTCTTAGAAACATTTTTATTTTGGTGTTTTTGATTGTAATTAATGAAGGATCAGAATTGCTGCAGATTAGTTTACTGTATATCATCTAACTAAATTGTTGTTTCTGCTCTCGTTAATGCATTAACAATATGATTGCTCTCTTGGAAGTCATCACCAAAACTAAATGCCTTCTGCGTATTAGGAATCTGACTTAAGATGCCCTGTGTGCAAATGCTATGTCTGCTGGTTAAGCTGTGTAGACCTTTGTTCGGCTTTGGAGGCACCTGATTTTAAGCTCCTCTGTCAACAGCGCAGCTTGGCAATGTTAGTCTGTCTTAGTTTAGCTGGCTGCTGGGAAAGGTACATTCTGCTGTTAGCAGGGCTTTGAGCCTAATAATCAATATCCAATTTGCATAACTAATGCTATTTCTAAATGTGTTTCAAGTATCTTCACGTATGCTGCTGGAAGAATTGAGCAAATTAAGCAGGTTCTAAAATTGCTTGATTATTGACGTGGTGTTAATGGACAAATGTGTCACAATGGCAAAAGCTTGAAAAGATGGTGAAACTCTTTATAATGGCATGCTGTAAAGGATTTGAAAATACACTAAAGGTAATGTTAAGTTGCAAGTCAGTTGATGTTTTTTAGCTATTACACCTTTGTGTTTATTTACACTGATCACTTCATATCAGATACATGTGGAGGCACACTGGTTGTATTCTATAAGGGTTATATGTTCTGTCCTATCCTATTTCCCTACAGACAGGGTCTGCTGGGATTTCATCCTGTTTGAAGGGGGTCTTTCCTTTCTGCTGTCACCAAGTGCTTGCTCAAAAAAGGGACCTTTGATTATTGGGGGTTTCTTTGTATTATTTTGGGTCTTTTCATACATTTTAAAGTGCTTTGAGGTGACTGTCTTTGTGATTTGGCAATATACTAATATAATTGAATTGAATATGTCCATCTGGCCCAAGATGTTGGCAGCAGATCAACTGGGAAGTCAACCTTGCTGTATCAAGATTGTTATTATGCAAAGAAAGTGGGATGTTGAAGCTTAACACTTTGAGCTTTTTCTGTGTTTTTTACTGTTCCTGGACATGGACATGTCTTGGGGTCAGGGGGGATATTTCTTCACTGAAAAGTGGAATTGCCATTAGAGTCTCGGGGGGACTTTAGATTAGGTCCTGTGTAACATACACAATGAATGAATACCAGAACACAAGGTTCTCCAGCATAACATTGCATTGTAAAAGACACAATCATTGTTATACACATCACCTGTTTTTATGTTTAAGTCATTCTCCCATAAAAACGGCATTCGACAACCTCCTCGTATCTGTTATGATAAGTTCTGGCACCTCGCTATGTATCAATAAAGAAGTGATTATGTTCCAGGTTTTGCTAAGTGTAGCTGCATAGAGAGCATCACTAACTTCAGATCCAGTCATGTTGTTCTATAACAAATATGACAGGCCTGGCTTTCGAGAGATAAAACGAGTACTAGAATAAGGTACTGTATGATCAGTGTGTTACTCAAATACGTAATGGCAACATACATATCCTCTTGTGAATTTTGTGGGGGGAAAAACAGCTCAGTAGCTGTTTATTTACTGGTTTGAGAAATGGTTAAAGACTCAGGAGGTAAGAGACTGACATGAGCCAATAGTATAAGCCAAATGATGATGATGATGATAATGTCTCCCATGAGACTGTTTGACTTCCACCTAAAGCCTTTTAACAGGAGCTCTCCTTACTCACCATGTGATGATTAGCATCCTCAATATGTGTGGGCAGGTTTTTTCCAGTTTTTCCCAAATGCAGACTGATTTCAAAGAGAAATGTTTTTTTTTTTCTTCTTTTAAGTTGAAATGATGTTTGCATGGGGTTCATTTTCATGATCTAAACTCATATGAAGCGCTGTTTGCTTTTTAAGTATATAAATCAGCTTACTGAATTGGCGGCTTCATTTCAGGAGGATTTCGGATGCTTTGGGCCATGATTCTTTTCAGCACCATCAATTCATTGAGCTGTAATTAACACCAGTTTTGTCCTTCCATGACATCGCTTAAAGACGTCATTCAAACTTAATAATTCCATGAAAATCTGTAACTACCAAATTATGTGAACAAATTGGAAAGCGTTCTTCGTGTTGTATTTTCACCCATAAAGGCCACTTCCTCTCTGTTCTTTCTTTGCTCTGTATTTCTTTGCTCAGGTTTGATGGCAGACTTTCCTCCAGCTCTCCTTCCATGCCTGCATCTTGTCATTACTGTCCAATCTCCAAGCTCCAAAGCCATATATGTCAAAGTCAGATCAGTTGTCACACTGTTGTATCTTCCACTGCTTTTCAGAGTTGGGAACAAACAGTTCTTTAAAAATGTCATGTTTTTTGTCATTGTCGCTCATAAACCTGCAGAGAGTCATCACCTGACTTTCAAGTTACAGTTAAGCTCTATAGTGGAGTCTATAGAGGCAGGCAACTGCTTTTAGTGAAAACCTCCCATAAACCCACTACATGCATAGCACCAGATGGAGCAAGTTAGCTCCTAGCTAGTTAACATAGCGAGACATCTGTCAGCTGAAGAGATTTCTATTTCTATTTCTATTTTAATTCAGGTGTCTCCCTGAGTCCAAGGGCATGCTGATATCTTCTCTGGCATAATCGTGGTATAATTCACCATGATAATGTTCTTTGTGATTTTCAAACTAAATATAGTCCTTGATTACAGAGAGATGATGTCTATTTAGCTGATTAAAATGATCACCCACCGCTTCTTTTAGCCATTGCCAATAAAGCTATGCGGAGCTACTGCCCAAAAAGGTTATAGCTGTACCAATAGATGGTTTATTCAACCACCTGCCAAGTATTTTTGGAAAGTTTTTTTAAACTTTTGTTCACGGTCTTCGTTAGAAAGACACCCATCTTACAACATTTGAATGGTTGCTACACTGATGGTGTAATAAGTTAAATTCTGCAACGCTGCGCCTCTTTCTCCTCTTATGTTCCATGTCTTGTGTGTCTTTAATATGCCCGTAACAATAACAGGAAGATGGTTCACCCTGTCATCACCCGTTATCTATGTTTTGAAGGCATGGCGTTTTTCCAAACAGTTTACGAGGAAGATTTCTCAGATCGTTACGTGTAACAAATAGTCTGGTGTGTCAAAGTTGTTGCATCGTGCTGAGCTGCATCACCACTGCAGTCCTCCTGTGGGTGCACGGATGTCTCCCTGGTAGTCATAGTGATCATTACCAGGGCCACATTTGATGATTTCACCATGGATCTCAAACATCAGATTCTGTGTCAGGCTGACCAAACTGTCATGCTGACTATCATCATTGGTTGCTTGGACCACACCACACATAGAAACCCTCAGTGGAAAAGCCTGCAATTCTACTGTAATATAAAATCGCACAGCATTGCTGCTCACTTCCTTCCCATCCACCAGATACAGGTGTTACTTCATCATCTTCCCTAAGATATAATTATTCAAGCTAAAAGATTGCTGTTTTGGAATATAACTAATATGCAGGTGGTCAGGAGAAGACCGAGAGAGATCCAACATAGCCGAAATGCTGGAAGCATTGTTTGCAGATCAGTGACTGCCTTGAAGAGAATTCATTTTGTTGTTGTTTTTTATAGGCGCAGTGGCACCTTGTAGCTGAAAAGAAAACACATTTAAAGGTTACATTGCAATTTGAAGCTTGAACAGATGACTTCCAGTCTTTCCCTTTGCCTCCTTAAACGCACATGAAAAGCTTTATTAGATTGATCGATTGAGCCGCGTCTATCGCATCTTCTCCTGTTTTACACCTCTCTAACGTCCTGCCCTGCAAACCCTTCATTTTAACTCTGGCCACTGCATTACAGCTGTGTTTAAAAGATGCTTCGTGCTGGTCGAGACCCCACAGAGGCCCCAACAGGCTCATCTGCGTCTAGACAACCAGGGAGAGAGAGAGGGAATATCCCACTTGGCTACTCATAGAGACAATGATGCAGTCAGACAGCGTGTCTGTGGATCACTCTCGCAGACATGACCTCACATTGAGCCGGCGGGTTATGGAGATAAGGTGTGCTTTATTTAGCAACGTCAAGATGATGGAGCCTAAATCATGATGCCACCGTTGGTTCCACACCTGCCCGTGGCACAAAGCGAGGGCAGTCCAGCGCACGAGAGTCGAGTGGGCCGGCTTTAAAGCTGTCTCTTTTATCTGTGCACAGCAGATCCGAAACCGTTCACAGGCAGCGATAAAATGGAAGCATTAAAAATGCGTCTGAAGTCTGGGGATTTTTTGTCGCCATGTGTGCCGCAAATACGGAAGAAGTTTGTCTTGCAGATTGTAAAACATATGTAAATAAATTTCCGAGCAAATCGACTGTGATGTTGATAAGGGCTTAATGAACGTGTGATAGCATTACCGTCTTTTAGAAACACAAAAAATGACTCAACTTTGTTTTGCTTTTTCCCTCTTTCCTTTTTTTCTGTTCGCCTGGCTCCTATCCATTTTTGTTTGGGTTTTCTTTTTATGTTGGCAGACAAGGAAGCTTATGCTATTGTTGCATTCAGTTGCTCCGGCTAAGTGACAGCTAAATGCCTGAAATGCAAAATGTAAATGCAGGAGGAAGAATGTTCCCTCGACAGGGTTGTTACTCTTTTATGCTGATTTGGACCGCATTCTAACTCAAAGACATTTCCTTGACATTCATTTATATTTTGGCTGCATATCTCGTCAGCGCAGCATACTATGCTTATGCATATAGAGAGCTCATCATGCTGTGACTGTGCAGGCCTGGCTCTTGTTCTTGATAGTTTCTTTTTTTTTCTTTTTGGATACTGTGTTTATGATGACTTTTTGTCTGATCCCCATTATTTTCCTCTGTCTCTCTTTTTTTTCTGCCTCAGGATCTGAAGAAGGTGCTGTCTTTCCCCCCATACCCTGGGGAGTTTTTGCACCCGGTCGTGTATGCCTGCACGGCGGTCATGTTGCTCTGCCTCTTCGCCTCCATCATCACGTACATAGTGCACCACAGGTATGAAGAAAATCTCCACCTTGATTTTGTTTAAGTATGCATTTGGGCTTTAATCCCTCCCTGCACGCCTTGCCTCGATTTCTAAAATTGC